GGGCAGAGAGAGAGGGAGACACAGAATCCGAAGCAGGCTCCAGGCTCTGAGTGGTCAGCACAGAGCCTGATGCGGGACTCGAACCCACGAATTGTGAGATCATGACCTAAGCTGAAGTCAGACCTACTCAACCGACTGAGTCACCCAGCCGCCCCAGATTTCATCACTTCTTAAAGGGATATGACAAAGCTCTTTAAATATTTCCAGAGGACATGGAGTATTTCCAAGAGTGAAGTAAAGAATCATGTATCATGTAAGCATTACTTATTTAGCTCTTAGAAATTAAGATGATCAGATACCTCTATAAAATGAGAATTATGAGTTAAAGATCATGCCTATACATTTCCTCCCTTCTTCCCTTGTCTCCCTTCCCTCCTTCTATCCACCCACCTCCCTCCCTCCCTCCCTCTCTTTCTGTCTGTCTGTCTCTGTCTCTCCCTCTCTCTCTCTCAAATTTGGGCAACAAAGGATTTTTATCTTCCTTTGAATTCTGGTGCCCAAGTAAGCTGAAGAACTAACATGAGGCAAGACTAACTGGATGTGGGGAGACCCTCTCCACAATTCTATTCACCACATTTCCACAGGGAGGGGCCTGGAAGAAATGAAGAATGCACAGTGGGAGGGGCGCCTGGCTGGCTGTCCGTAGAGCACGCGACCCAGTTCGGGGTTGTAAATTCAAGCCTCATGTTGGGTGGAGAGATTACTTAAAAATAATATCTTAAAAAAAATGCATAGTGAGATCTCAAGGCAGATTTACTTAAACAGCCAAATAATGAAAACAATTATTCATCGCTGGGGAAGAATAAATTGTGTTATAGTCACACAATAGAATACTACACAACAAAACCACTAACAACAGGGGTGCCTGGCTGGCTCAGTTGGGGGAACATATGGCACTTGATCTTGGGGTCGTGAGTTCGAGCCCCAAGTTGGGTGTAGAAATTACTTAAATAAATAAACTAAAAAAAAAATGAGACAGTATGAAAATTAAGATGGAAAAATGAGCAAACTGCTTTTCTTCTTTTTAAGTTTATTTGTTTTGAGAGAGAGAGAGGGAGAGCACATGCACGAGTCAGGGAGGGGCAGAGAGAGAGGGAGAGAAAGTGAGAGTCCCAAGCAGGCTGCTCACTACCAGTGCAGAGCCCGATGCGGGGCTTGAACTCACCAACTGTGAGATCACGACCTGAGCTGAAGTTGGGCGCTTAACTGACTGAGCCACCCAAGTGCTCCAAACTGGTTTTCTTTCAACCTTCCCTCTCTCATTAGGCGTGGAATGTGGAGACAGCAGGGGAATTAAAGAATGAGGAAGACTCTCCAAATAACTTGTAGGGTTTGGGGACTTCAGTTAAGTTTTAGAGTTTCTCGATTAGGGAGACCCTTCCGTTTTCCCCTTCTTTGTAGGATGTGCCCTGATTAGTTTTGAGGGACACGGTTGCAAGGAGTGATCAGGTGAGCAGAGTTGACTGTCTGGCTTTCAGGTAGAGAATTAAAGTTGGGTCTCAAGTTTACTTTATCGCTTGTTCCACATGGTTCGTTCAACAGCATGGGGAAGGAGGGAGGGCTGAGGCATAAGTGCTGTCCAGGGATGGAAGGTGTGCTGGTGAGAGGACGTGCCTTTTATTCTCTCTGCGGAAAACCACAAAAAGGATTCCAAAGATTGGGAGCAGAGGGCTGAGATATACCAATATTTATTTCTAGTCACAGTCTCTTGGTGTAATTTATGTGCTCTTCTTTTTTATAGAATCCTGGCAAAACAAATCCCTATCTCCTTAGCTGTTTTTCTTTTCTCCGGGCCTTTAAGAAACACCGTGAATCCATTTTTCCTGTTCTCCTTCCCCTGGACACCTCTCAGCCCTGGCAGATCATTTCTAACGGCAGAGGCTGTGACTGGTAATGAATGTGTGGAAGGATTGGGGCCTGGCTCTTGACCTTCATGTTCCGGCATTCCTATATTGTCTCTTGAATTTTTAACAGCTCAATTGCTGCCTCATTCGCCACCCAAAGTACTGCCAATTAGAATCTGGCTGCATTTATGAAATTATTTTAAATTTAAATTATTTAATTATTTTAAAATAACACTAGATAAAAATTAATGGAGACAATTATAGAAATGCTGAAGCTGAACTCTTCATTTAAATAATATATGTGGGGTGGGGGGAGGCTACTAAAAATTTAGGGCTAATCTCTGTGATAGGCATTTTATTTATTTATTTATTTATTTATTTATTTATTTATTTATTTATTTCTTCCCATCCCCCCATCCACCTCCTGCTTTATATGCATTATGATGTTTACCCCATGAAACCTCTGTAAGCTTGTAAGCTAAAAATTAGTATTCCTGTTTTAAAAGTGAATTCTCGGGGCCCCTGAGTGGCTCAGTTGGCTAAGCATCCAACTTGGGCTCAGGTCATGATCTTGCAGTTTGTGGGTTTGAGCCCCGCATCGGGATTCCCTCTCCCTCCCTCTCTCTTTGCCCCTCTCTGTTCATGCCTTCTCTTTCTCTCTCTCTCTCTCAAAATAAATAAACTTAAAAAAAAAAGTAAACTCTCAGACTTAAAGGATCAGAAATACTAAGTGTGCCGGGGTAAAAGCCCAGGTCCATCTAACTCCAAAGTCGTTTTATCTCACCACTGCTTAGGCAAGGTGCTTACTCAACATATGCAGAGCTTAAATATTCTTTCATCTTATGAAAAAAACAGATTTGGTAAATTAAATCTGCTAAAATAGACAGTAATCTCCTTGAGGGCAAAGGCTGGTTACTTATCTTTTTGTGTGGCTTAGAACGGTACCTCAATGTGTTAGGTGCATACTTCCAAATAGGTGCACAAGAGAAAAAAATTTTTTTTCTTAAAACAATTACATATCCACTACATACTTTTTCAAAGCATGTGTAAGTATCTACATTACATTAATAGATTCACATACCTGCAGAAAAAATCAAATTTACTCATCTAAATAAAATGTGAGGTCAATGAAAAGGATAGTTTAAATGCCAAATATAACATAACCAAACAAGTTAAAAACGTGGGTACTGGGGTCCCTGGGTGGCTCAGTTGGTTGAGCATCTATCTGTCCCTCGATTTCAGCTCCGGTCATGATCTCGTGGTTCGTGACTGTGAGCCTCGTATGGGGCTCTGTTCTAAGAGCACAGAGCCTACTTGGGATTCTCTCTCCCTCTCTCTCTGCCCCTCCCTGCTTGTGCTATCTTTCTCAAAAATAAATAAATAAACATTAAAAAAAAAACCAAACTTGGGTACTGAACTACATTTCCAGATTTTTTTTTTAGTATTTATTGATTTTGAAAGAGAGTTAGAGAGCAAGCATGGGAGAGGCAGAGGGAGGAGGAGAGAGAGAATCCCAAGCAGGCTCTGTGCTGTCAGCGCAGAGCCCAACATGGGGCTCAATCCCACAAACCCGTGAGATCATGGCCTGAGCCAAAACCCGAGAGTCAGATGCTTAACCTACAGAGCCACCCAGGTGCCCCACATTTACAGATCTTTTAAGCTCTAAAGGCACACTGGCTAATATTTCTGTTATTCCAGGATTAGCAAGCAAGTATAAAGCCTTTCACAGTATAACTGACCCTAAACGTGGAATCACTGAAAGGAAAGAACATACAACTACAAGCTCTCCCCCTAATACAAGATGGAACCTACTGGAGCAGACTGAAACCCAGCTGTTAATAGAATTACACTCCCATGATCAGTTCTTTATACCAAAGCATCCGAAAGCTGACTGAATACTTTTTCTTTACAGGACTTCTCTCCCTCCATTTCATTTTAGTTTCTCTATGTGGAAAGAAAGCACACAGCAAGACTTTTAATTCTCAATTCCTTATTTTTTCCTGAAATGGTAGCCTGAAATTAGTGTATTGCCTTTTAAATTAAGTCATAATTTGTTTCTGAAAGAACTGTACCATATCTTTGGTGTGCTGTGTTATTTACTTTTTACGAGTAACTAAGTTTGCCGAATGTTTAAAGTCTTTTTTTGTTTTTTGTTTTTTGTTTTTTCTTTCATAGAATAAAAGGACTTCTTTCAATATGGAGGCTTATTTGGCTTCCAGGTAGAGTTACTCAGGTTTTCCAAGTTTGTGGCTGTTGTGTTTCTGCTTCAGAATTCTCTAGGATGAGTTTCCCTGTGAGCCTAAACACACCCGTAAGTAATCATTTAGTCTCTACTAACTCTCAACATGTCTGGTTAGGTCCGTTTCTGAGATTATAAGAAAAAAAAAAAAAACAGTTATTTTCTTCTTTCTAGATTTGTCTCCCTTATTTTGTTCGTGTTACTTATTACAGTTAATGGACATTCCTAAAATTTTAATTATATATACCTATGCACTATAAATGTTTTCTTCATTATTCCAAAATGTTTACTGTTTATTTTTGTGGCTCTCCGTATATTTTTGAGAGCCATTGTCTGCCAAAAGGAATGTCCACATTGGCTCATTTTTTTTTTTTTTAGCCAAATACCTCTTTTCAATCATTTTGGGTTATTTTTGACAGCAGTCTCTAATGCATTCCTGCACAAAATCCCTTGCCCACATTATGTCCTTAAAGTAATGTCTTTGCAAGTAAATCTCCCTCCTATACCTGCTTCTCCATTTTTAATGCTTTCCGTAATGTCAGCATTCTTTTGATTTTAATTCACGTTTTTTATTCCTTTGTATGAATTTATACATTTCTTCCTTTTGACTGGTATCCGCTTTATTCTATTTGAAAGTCTTTAGTTTTTACTTTTAGTCCCCATTAAGTTCCCTGGTGATGTCAATTCATGAATACACCAAAGGTTTATGGCATGGCACACTCCCAGAATGTGAAGCTTCCTGGTTGGGGGGGCGGGTGGTGAGGGGAGCATATCTGTCACTCATGTACTGATCCCAGTACTACTGAAGACAGTTACCCAAAAATGAAATATTAAAGTAAATGTCTGTCTAGCCAATAGCATATACTTTGCCAAGTAACTATACCATTTTTTTTAAATGGTAAATAAATGAAACTTACCCTTTAAAGAAGATTTCAGTAGATGATTTGGGATCCTTCCCTCTTTATTTCAGCTCAATCCAATTCAGATAAATTCTAGAAGCCTGTCAGGTCCGTCCAGAGGCTGTGGAGACCACAGATGCAAAAATAAAACAAGTCCCTCCTCCTAAATTTACATTCACTTAGATCAGTTGGAGTGCTAGGGGTTTCAAATCCCAAGCTTTATATAAGGTCTTTCCCTTGATGCGTGTGCAGTAACTGTTTTCCCCAGCCAGTGAGGATCTTAGGTTTCCCCCTTTTAAAGCTTTAGGTTGTACTTCAACTATTCTTTTTATGTTGCATAACCCTCAGGGGTTTATATCCGACTGCCATACTTAATGTATTTTAATTCTGCCTTGTGATGATCTATATATGCTTCCATGAGCTCATCTTTCCCTTAGGACTTACACAGGTAGCAGAGATTCAACTGGCATTCTTTACTACTTCCTGGCAACTGCAGGTCTGACTTCATGGATACCTTTATTTTTGCTCTTGCCATCCAAAAGTGTCAGAGAGAGTGTGATTACTCGATTAAATAAATAAAACAAGGTCTTTTGGACAGATCCTATCATAACACCACGACTGTGGTAAACTGGCAACACACACATCCTGTCTTTTCCCCTTCTAATGTTTTCATTCCCATGAGTTATCCCTTTAAAATCTGGAAAGGTTTGTATTTTTTCACAGCTTACGTTCTGCCTCATCCTAGCAAAGTATATGTCTCTATCTTATTGTCCCTAGATGGAACAATACAGTTTACATTTGAAGAGAAAGAAAAGTATTCGCCCTTCCATTTCTTTCTTCTCTGGGCATGGGAAGGGTGATGAAAGAGAAAGTGGGGGAGAAGTAATGGCCAAACAGAAACCAGCGAGGCTAGATCCAACTGTATGTGTCACCTTCGAGGAGGTCATGGTCTGGAGTGATTTTTTTTTTCTTTTTCTTTTTTTTTTTTGGAGTAATTCTTTTTTTTTTCTCAATTTTTTAAAATGTTTTATTTATTTTTGAGAGAAAGAGAGACAGAGCACAAGTGGGGGAATGAGAGAGAGAGAAAGAGACATAAAATCCGAAGCAGGATCCAAGCTGTCAGCACAGAGCCTGTCGCGGGGCTTGAACACAGGAACGTAAGATCATGGCCTGAGCCAAAGTCAAACGCTCAACCGACTTGAGCCACCAAGGGACCCTGGAGTAATTCTTAATTGAAATCATATCATACATCTACGCCTCTCTTATCACCAACTTCTCAAATATTTCCATTCTCCTTCCCCTAGCTGCAAATCTCATTTAATAATTGCCCTACTCTATAATATCACTATTTCTGTATTGTCTCATTTCCCCATTAGGATTCTGCTTCTTTTTGTGCTCTCTGCCTGTAGCACCTAGACTGGTCCTAGGCTTTTGAAGAATGTTTGCTGGATTGAAATAAATTGCTTGGACTTACTCAGGCTCCCCTTTTCTAGCATGTAGTAAAAATTTATCTCGGGGCGCCTGGGTGGCGCAGTCGGTTAAGCGTCCGACTTCAGCCAGGTCACGATCTCGCGGTCCATGAGTTCGAGCCCCGCGTCAGGCTCTGGGCTGATGGCTCAGAGCCTGGAGCCTGTTTCCGATTCTGTGTCTCCCTCTCTCTCTGCCCCTCCCCCGTTCATGCTCTGTCTCTCTCTGTCCCAAAAATAAATAAATGTTGAAAAAAAAAATTAAAAAAAAAATTTATCTCAATTGACACCTTTATCTTTACTGCATGCTATTAAGGTATAGTGATGACCAAAAAAAAAAAAAAAAAAAGAAAAAAAACATAAAGAAAAGTAACATGGTGGACTTTCAATTGCAGCATAAAACATTTTAATGCTTTTTTTCTTTCCTGAAAGAGCTCATGATGAACGATTCTTAATGTTTGCTGGTATAAGCCTCAAGATGCAGGCAGAAATGTTTTTGTGATTTTAAATACTTTCTGCCTAGCATGGATAATAATCAAGGGTAATTAATATATGTTAATATATTTTGTGCGACTTTCACAAGTTCACAAAATAAAATGCGTCTTAAACTTGAGCTTATCTTCAGCCATATCCGTGCCGTGTACGGGATCAGAAAATATTTGCTCAATCACTGGATTATATGTCTCTGTGTTACCCCACATTTAGATCTGGAAAAGCCACAGATGGACTTGCCTCAATTTTCTTCATCCACAAAACTGGGCTGGGTCAGGGGAGGGAGAGAAAGAAAGGAGAGAAAGGGAGAGAGGGGAGGGAGAGAGGGGAGGGAGGGCTGGGTCAGGGGAGGGAGAGAAAGAAAGAAAAACTGCTGTGGTCCTCGTATCCTACTCTGTTCTTGCACATGCAAGGTGTGATCTACCAAAGTAGCAGCAGCTGAGGCCAAGAAACGAAACCACGTGCGTGTCCTGTTGGTAGGAGGCTGGAGTGTCAGATCAGTTTCTAAAGGGATATGAGGATTTTTAAAAGACCAAAATAACCCATTTATCGGCATCTGGTTATAAATAATTACAATTAGATTTTTAACCTCTTGGAGTCAACTTAGGCATCTTTATTTCTTTCCTTTCACCAAGGCCTTGAACACGTGTGTTTAAATGAAGAATTCTGAGTCATAATGTAATTTGCATGTATTGAAATGCCATATATTACCTTAAATGGTTACCATAGTGTTCTACTCAGTGAGTAAATATGTAGCATAGCTATAAAATTGGTCATAATTTTTTTTTATCATTTGGGATGAGAAAATTTAATAGAAAAATTTTTTTAAACATCTCTTGATACTAGGTTCAAGGGGCAGTTGCCTATGATTTTTTCTGTGAGTTGCAGATATTCCCTAACTGCCAGGGCTCTGGGACACCAATAATAGAAGTCTCTGAACTGAAGAAGGTTCAAAAGCTTGCTATTTTAGGACATCATTAAAACTTTGGGGGAAAGAATCCCACCAGAGACTGAATGTTGCTTGCTGCTGAACCAAATGACCTGTCTTCACTTTGCCTTGCTGAGACTGGGAAACAGTCTGTATCTAGCTAGGGATGTGGAAACCATGAGGTAGACAGCTCTCTGCCCACAGTGTGGACAGTAAGCACCAAGGAAGCAAAATGAGATAATGGAATACGAAGACTGTAATTTACTAGGTTAGGACACAGGCAGGATTGGAAATCCTCCACTGTCTAGGAAGACCAAATGTAGACTGGGCCATGAGACCAAGGCCAGGGGAGTTTGTGATAGGGGCTCGCACTTTGCACCTTCTCCTGCCTCGCTGTGTTCAAGATAAAGGCATGTTTAATAATGTTTAAGAGTGGGAAGGAAGGGGCATCTGGCCGGCTCAGTCAGAGCCTTGATCGCAGAGTCATGAGTTCAAGACTCACGTTGTCATTGGATGTGGAGCCTACCTAAAATAAATACATTTTTAAAAAGTACAAGTGGGAAAAAATAACGTTGAAGAGTTGGATAGTCGGGGTCAGATAGATGAGTTCAACTCCTGATGTTGTCATTTATTATGTTAGCTATAGAACTACCTACCATCATCCCCCATGTAGATCTCAGTTTCCTTACATTTGAAATGGAATAATAATTACACGGACTTCATAGCGATTGTTGTACAGGTCGGATGACATAATGTGTGTAAACAAAACCCTTAGTACAGTGCCTGGCCTTCTCGGTGAATGTTAGCTAAAAACAAACAATGAACATCAACTGCCCAGCCTCTCTTATTTGTAAAAAGAGGAGAGTCAAGGAAAGTCCCTGCAGTAAGGGAAATCAAATCAATGGTATCTCCTGATCAAGGGCTGCTGTCCACCCTGTCTTGTTATTTTATTTATTCTTTAATGTTTATTTACTTATTTTGAGAGAGTGTGCACGGGGAGGGGGAGGGACAGAGAGGCAAGAGAGAATCTCAACCAGGATCCACACCTAACATGGGGCTTGATCTCACAAACCATGAGACCACCACCTGAGCCAAAATCAAGAATAGGACGCTTAACGGACTGAGCTACCCAGGCGCCCCCTGTCTCCCTGTTATTTGAGATCACCTTCATATCTCTCATCCTTGCCACTGTCAGAGGTTACTAAAGACATTTCTTCATTCAAGTGTTTATTAAGTGCCAACTCTGTGTCAAGTAGTAGCTATGTGATAGGGGTGTATTGGCCAACACCTCGAAAAGATAGCTGAAAAGATAGGTAATGAACAAAATAAACACACAAATACAATGATTATCACTTGTTGGAAGAAAAACATGGCACTCCACTCTCAATGGGTTGACAAGGAAAGCCCTCTGTGAGGAAGGGAGACAAAAGATAAGAAACAGCAGAATGGTTTCAGTCCACACCTTATGGCCTTTCTCTGCAGCAACTTGTGACAATTGCCAGCCTTATTTGTCTTTTAACTCCCCTGTCGTTCTAGCTGTCACGACCCAGAGGGGATTTCAAAAGACATTCAGGACAGACTACTTCCTGCCAGGTGATCCTAGGGTCATGGTCACAGATGTAGTGGCCGGGCGGCCACATAAATACGTGTGCAGGTTGTACCTACATAAAAACGCTGGGCAAGCGGAGTGTCCTGGCACAGGGCTGCATTTACCTACCTCCGAGGAAGGGGTGCCTTTTCTACTCAACACAACCAGAAGTAGCTAGTGGCCCTATGCAGCCTCAGAATAAAAGCACACTTAGAAGTCAGTGAAAGGTTATTTCAAAAGCAGACTGGCACTAGGGACTCAAGGTGCCATCCAGGAATAACCCAGCTTAATCCCTAAGTATAGGTGACACAGAGGACTCATACCGCTGTAGAGCTGCACCGTGATTTATTACCACTTTTCAGGGGAAGCAGTAGGGCTTTCCAGCTGAGTGAAGCTTTGGGGGCCCTAGAGACAGGGGAACAGCAGCTCAGGCCCCCACTGCCTAAGTCCTCACACAGGCCACTTCTTCCAGTAACTGCTCCCATGGGGCAGTGCTGGTCCCCAAAGTCATGACTAATGGCCACCTTCTCAGGCTCTCAAAACTAAGCAGTTCTTGTTGGATTCAGAATGATTCTCCTTCCTACCAGAGCAGAATCATTCTTCCTGATTTTCTGAAAATAAGCCACAAAGAATCCCTTTGTGGGAAT